TTGCTTAAAGTGGGGCTGAGTGAGGTTGGGGCTGGCCCTAAACCCTAAATCCTAAACCCTAAACCCTAAGCCCTAAACCCTGATGCTTTTGAGGCTTTAGGGTGTCACGGGGTTCGTGGGTTTTGACTCCCCAGGGAGTTTTAATCTCCCCTTGCACCCCGGCAACAATGTCCCAACCTGTCGGTTTTAGGGTCTCGGATTGAGGGTTCAGGGTTTAGGGTTTAGGGTTCAGGGTTCAGGGTTTAGGGTTTAGGGTTTGGGTTGATGGTTGCGGGTGCAGGGTTTAGGTTTCGGGTTTAGGGTTTGGTATATGGCCACTTCTACATGATGGCCCCTTTTGGGGCTACTATTAACTGGCGACCCCTTCGATTTGAGGGTACTTGGAGGTTCAGGGTACGTAGTAACCCAATGAGAACTGTACAAAAAAATCAATTGGGGTACTTAAGGGGCTTGTATGTGGATTGTCACTTCACTTATCATGAGTTACTGAGTGCCCTGAACCTTTCCGGTGAGGTTTCTCAGCCACTTTTGAGATTGGGGCGGCCAGACTGTGGGATTCCTTGCGGGCACCCCGAACCCCAAACCCCAAACCCGAAACCCCAAACCCTAAACCCTAAACCCAGGCTCGCCAATGAGCATCATGCTCGTAGGGTGTAAGATGGCCCCGCTCCACGTCTGATCCCAGGATGTCGCCTCTGGCGTTAAGGTTTAGGGTTTAGGGTTAGGGTTTAGGGTTTACGGTTTAGGGTTTAGGGTTTAGGCTTTAGGGTTTAGGGTTTAGGGAGGGTTTAGGGTTTAGGGTTTAGGGGTTAGGGTTTAGGGTTTAGGGTTTAGGGTTCAGGGTTTAGGGCTTAGGGTTTAAGAACCCCGAAACCCTAAACCCTAAACCCTGACACCCTGAAAGCCCTGAAAACCCCGAAATCCCTGAAAGCGCTCAGGAGTCTCTTCCCGTCCTGGGCATGGCCTCCTTGGAGGTTCAGGGTACTTCGTAGTAACCCAATGAGAAGGTTTAGGGTTTAGGGTTTAGGGTTTAGGGTTTAGGGTTTAGGATTTAGGGTACTTAGTAACCCAATTATGACTGCACGTATAACCCAATTAAGGGGCGTTAGCTACACGTATATTGAGTTCCTAATGGCTAAATCCCGTGCCTCTCTAGGTAGCCTTGGGCGGGGCATTTGCAAATTTGCTGTGAAAGCGATACCGAACCCCAAAGGCGATACCCCCAGATACGAGTCAGTTCTATCCTCATAACATCTCATAGCTTGAGTTGATTACCTTGCTGATGCAATGCATTTGGCTTGAAATCGGCTGGTTCAGAGTGAAACCCCGGTGCTCCATGACTTGGCAGCACGGTTTTGGTTAGGAAGGCGATGCCTAACCCCAAAAGCGATTCCCTCAATGAATGTCCCAGCGGTGGCCTCTAGGTTCTGCCGCGCGCTCCTAAGTACCCGGAACCTTCAAGTAGGGGGTTGTCAGGATTTTCGTGGAGGGTTGAGGGTTTTTGGGGTTGGGGGCTTGGGTTTTGGGGCATGAACCCCAAATCCTAAACCCAACCTCAGTCCTGAAACCCTAAACCCTTAGCCAGGCTGCTGTGCCGGCTGTGCCGCGTTCATCGAGGCCACGCCCACGCCAGGCTGGTAGAGCTTGCTCCCAGTTTCATCCCCTTGTTATCCTGTTGCTTCGTTACTACCCATTCGGTTTAGGGTTTAGGGTTTAGGGTTTAGGGTTTAGGGTTTAGGGTTTAGGGTGTATGGCTTCGGGCTTAGGGCTTAGGGTTTGAGCACGCTGTTCCCTTTTTCGTTTGCGAATTTACCCGCTCATCCTGGCAAGGCGCGCGGTGGCGGCATCATAGCCTCCGGGGTCCAGCGGCTGGGGCAGACAGTTGGAAGGAGGGGGGTTTAGGGTTTAGGGTTTAGGGTTTAGGGTTTAGGGTTTAGGGTTTAGGATTTAGGGTTTAGGGTTTAGGGGGGGTTCCGGGGTGGGTTTTGGGGTGTAGAGCTTTGCAAGATTGGGGAGTCAGGGTGCTGCTAGTCCCCTTCTATCTCTGACCCTTAAACACCCTAAACACCCTAAGCTCTAAACACCCAACACCCTACACCCTACACCCTAAACCCTACACCCTACACCCTAAACCCTAAACCCTAAACCCTAAACCCTGAACCCTAAACCCTAAGCCCTAAGCCCTGAACCTAAACCCTAAAGCCCCAGGAGCTTGTCGACATTCTGTGAGACACTGGACGCCTGGAGGACGCCCCCCGCGGCTTCGCGGGAGCGGATGCGGGCCAGCATCAGTGAAAGTGCCAAGGCGCCCACGGTCCCAAAGGTTCGCCGAGCTTGAGGGTTTAGGGTTTAGGGTTTAGGGTTTCGGGTCTAGGGCCCTTAGATTAGAAGTTCTTCAGCTATGCTTTCATTCTGCAGCCGTGCCGTGCCTGTGGCAGCAGAGGTGATATCCCCTGCAGGTCTGTCAGCTTGACCGAGATCGAGCGGTGGCCCAGGACAGCATGCTGTCGATGACGCAGAAGAAGCAGAAGAAGAAGGCATGAGGGACAACATCCACTTTGTCCGGTTGAGGGAGTCCCCCGAACCCTAAACCCTAAACCTTAAGCCCTAAACCCTAAACCCTAAACCCTAAACCCGAAACCCTAAACCCTAAACCTGAAGCCCTAAACCCTCAGCTCGCCAGGAGTCCACCGAGCGCAACATCAGGCCGGGCTGCGAGACAGATCACCACATGTCCTTTCAGCGGGTAACCTTGCCTCCAGCCCTTTTTGGGGCTTTGGGGTCCCAAGCATTCAGAAGCCCTAGTGACCCCCACCGCGATAGACCCCAAAGGGTTTAGGGCTTAAAAAATCGGGTTTTAGGGTATCGAATAGGGTTTAGGTTTATAGTGGGGTTAAGGGTTTCATCCAAAGTCCCTCAAGCCGCAACCGAAGGGCTGAGAGCACTCCTACCCTTGGAATCCGCCCCCCCCCCCCCCCC